TGGCCTCCTTCTCTTTTTCCGCCTCCCAGCCCCCGCCCTGCCTCTCCATTCCCAAGGCAGCTCCTGCCTCGCGGTCTCTTTGGCTGTCACGGAAGCCCTGCAGCAGCCTTCTCACGGGTCCTATCGCTTCCAGGGTTTCCATAATGCTCGCGAATATGCCATGGGATCCTATTACTCCCCTGTTCAAAGCCGTCCATGGCAGAAGTTAAAACAGAGCGATGCTCTCCAGGCCGGCAGCTGAGGGGCTGCCCGTGGGAATGTGCCCTGGAATGGAGTTCTTAGGGAAAGTGGCAGTGTCCACTCACAATAAAAATGCACACGTTCGACTCCAGGAATCTTGGTTTTAGGAATAAAACCTTTACAAATAAAGGAGCTGGTATGAAGGTTTGCAGTGTGTTCCTCCCCTTGCTCTCAGGAATTACGGGTAGTAGTAAAAATTTGGGTAAGAAAAATAATGTTCATCAATGCGGAGATGGTCAGGGCTGGCCCTGTGGCCTAGTGGTAGGGGAGTTAGATCTCACTTGGCTGACCATGGTTCAAATCCTGACCCTGGTGACTTAAAAAACATGCTGGAGGCGTGTGTAAGTGCCCCGAATCTGGACATGATGGAGAGGTGGAGGAGGGATTGTGGCAGGACCATGCCCCATTGAGAGGTCTCTCTCTCTCTTTCTCTCTCTCTCTGGCAATAAAAAGGAGAAATGAAGAGATGGTTAAATGAAGTGACATGTCTGTGGAATATGAGAGTGGACTAGACTTCTATCTGTCGACATGGTAAGCTGTGAGCATGTGAATTAAACAAGAGAAGCAAGTTGTGTGGACCGAGTCACCCGCCAGGCACACACAGGTGCCATTGGTCTCACCTTTCTGTACCTGCACCTGCTGTGTGGTTTGCACATAGGTAGCAGCACACGTCTAAGGGTGCACGCGAGCTGTCGGTACTAGTACTGGACAGCAGATGAAGAGGACGTGGGACGTCGCTCACTGCTTACTTACCTTTGATCCGTTTCACTGGGTACGCTGAATGCTTACTGCTCATGAAATCGTACAAAAGGCCTGTCATAGAAGGTGACAGAAAGGAAAGGAAAAGAAGGAAGAAGGGGAACAAAGAGAAAAGACCAGGAAGGGAAGGAAGAAAAGCTCTTCACATCACGCTGCAGCCCTGCGAGGCCAGGCTCCCCTCTCCAGCTGCCTCTGTCCAGCCTGTCGGCCCCCACTCCCTCCACATGCTCTTGACACTCAAACACGCAGCCTAAGCCAGTTCAGTCTTACATCTTTTCAGTCTTGTGCTGCTCCCTTGGCTGGGAACCATCTCCCTCTCAGCCTGGGAAAGTTTCAAGTCTTAGCCCAAATGCCACCTCCTCCAACAGCTCTCCCTGCCTTCTGAGGAGTTCAGTCCATCTCCCTCTTCGCTCCCACGTGCCCTGTGCTCTCTGCACCACAGTCCACCTGCTGCAGTCCAGGCGATGCTCCACCGTTCACAAAAAGGACAAGTGAAAACATCCTTACACCACACCTGCGATGCCATGTATCTTCATTTTCCAGCAGAGTACATACATGTAGCTGTCCTATGAATATCACACAAATGTCTGCTAGGGAAATGGCAGTCTACAGATGAGCTAGTGGTTTTTAAACAGAAATCAGCTTTTAAAGACTTCTTCCCCTCCTTTGCAATTAGTCCTATGTTAGCAGATAACAGGCCCAAGGGTAAACAGCCAGTGTTTTGACCAAACTGTCTTGTTCATTGTTTACTAATATTACTAACAGCTCCATACATCCAAACAAACTGGTATTCTCCATTATCTCTACTAATGAACATAATGTGATCCTCTATTACCTCTGCAGTAAATTCTTCCTGCAAACCTAGGAGGTCAGAATAATCACCAGCTCCTTGGTTTACAGACAAAGGATCGGAGTTTCCCAGAAGAGAAGCTTGCCCAAGGCTACCCAGCGAGGAGAGGCGGGGCAGGATTCCAACCAGTTTGTGTGTGGTTGGAAATGCAGTGTTTTCTCCTGTAAATCAGTGCTGACCTGAATTTCAGGCATCTACTCTTGTCTAAGAACAATCATGATTGTTGGTCTTATCCTAGTACCAGCGCACTATTATCTAATTAATGTTTAACTTGAGATAAACTTTCGTCTTAACACACAACAAAATGATTTGTGAAGTGGACCGTATGTCACAGTAGTACTTATCAACCATAAATAGATTCGCTCTGGAAATAAATGGAATGGAAGCCACGTTGCTGTTACTTTGTAGCCCGTGGTTTAGTGGCTAGAAGTCTGAGATCAGGTGCTTCGTCTGCTGGGACACTGGCAATCACTGCCCAGGTGTTCAGGTTGCACTAAGACGGTCTTCTGAGGAGAATGACGGGATTAACAGGTCACTGAAATTGGAACCACTGTGTGGTCGCATGTCTAGGTGTCGGTATTTCACCCCTGGGACTCTCCAAAATCATTTCTCTGGGAAGAACTGAGCCACCACTTGGGCAAGGCTGTCTTGCACTGCCCAAAGGCCCTGAGGACTTTTAGCAAGTGTAATTTTCTTAAGCCTCTTTGATTGTCCACACTGACAGTGTGAGCAGTGTGGGCGCAAACTGTGCCACTGATCCCCAGGTCCCCTCCCAGTTCTAACATCCACTGAGTCAGAGACTGTCCTCATTTCCCCCAGGGGAGACCAGCAGCAGGGCAGGCAGGGAATCACTGCATTTCTCACATCTCCTATCCACAATCCCGTGTCATGCCCTAGCCCGCTGAAATAAGGGTCACCAGCCCCCATTTTCTGATGGGGGATGAGATTCGGCTCAGAGAAGCAGGTACACTTGCTCCAGAACACACAGCTTGCACAGAGTTAAACTGGGATCCACCCTTCCCAGCCCGGCTCCTGCGATTTTCCCACCCACCTTCTCCACTTGCCTAGAAACCTGTCAGCCTGGTGGGAGGAGCAGACTGAATTTCTCTCCTACTTCCTCTCTCTCTCTCTCTCTCTTTCTCTCTCTCTCTCATAGAACCTCGGCCCCAGAACAGACCAAAAAATGCACCTAGATGCCCTTATTTGGCCAGTGAGCTGATGAGAGATCCAGAGGGGAGAAGGACCTATTTGAAGTCACACAGGAGGTGAGGGACATGTGGGGATCAGAACCTTGCCTGGGTGTGTGGGGAAGAGGGGTTGCTACATCCTTCCCCTTCGCTTTTCCATCTTCCCTGCAAAGACTTGCAGATGGATTTGCTGTGAAAAGGTGCCAAAGGAAAAAAGTGCCAGATTTGTCAAATTACAAAACACACAGAGTACCAGGTTTATAAACAGTGTCATCATTGTGAGAAAAGCCCAACTAGAGTCTAGATTTAGAGTTCCTGGAGCACATAAAGTTCCGAAGCTATTACAAAGTCCTTTGTGTAACAATCTGTCTGTCCACGCCTCTGATGCCTTTTTCCATTGAAGCAGCGGTGACTATGATATTCTTTTTTAGAACTAGCGTGTAGATGGACAGAACGACTTTTTTTACAAATATACAAATTTTTAAAAGAGGAAAATATATGTATCTAGATTTTCCGTGTCTGAGAATTAGATACTTCCGTAAAATGAAGATAATAATAGAATCTACCCAACAAGGCTGCTGTGGGCTAGTACAGATTATGAGCTCATAGCAGAGCCTGGCAGGCAGTAAGCACTGGGTAAACATCAACTACTATTAGTAGAGAGAGGAGAAACTCTAGCTGTTTGCGTTTTTCTGAAAATGTTTGGATCTTCTGTTGTTATCGTTGCACTCCCTCTTTTAGAAAATCTGGAAATCAAGTAAAATCAAAACACTGCTAAAGCAAATGGGCAAAGGTAACAGACTAGAGAAATGCTACCTGGAGGATGAGAACAGGAAGCCAGGTCCACCTGGGGTCACATGCTCACTGGCTCACTTGGTCCTGCCTGACCTTGGGCCAGCTACAGCGCCCCCTCCCACACACACACACTCTT